GTGCTAACACTTTAATAGACAAGTGCACATAAAGAAACTAGTCCAAGAGTGTAAAATACAATTAGGAACTTGGAACATAGGAACAATAACAATGATTGGAAAGAGAATGAATAATTTTTTTTTTACAAGAAACAAATGGGTAAAGGAAAATCTAAAGCAGTTAAGGAGGTTAAAATTAAATTGAAGGCTTACAATTCTCTCTATCTTAAGTTCTAAGGATGGAGAACAAGATATATAAGATGAAGAGAAAGAAAAGACGGAGACCAAGTTCAGGTAACAATTTGGATATTATCTAATATGTCACCAAAGAATGGTGGGACTCATTAAACCAATGGGTTGGTGACACAACAAGTGGTATTCAAAATTTGGTACCCAAAAGTCACCATAGGATAACTTGCTCAAAAAATGAACCCATGTAGGCAACCCCAATTAATTGGGACAAAAGTTTTGTTGAGATGAATTAAGAATTGAACAAAACACAAGCATGGTCGGACCGGTATCATATTTTCACGATTCTTATTCTCATAAGTTGGCTAAGTCCAAAAAAGTAGCAAAATCAAGTAGCTAAACACATTAGATAAAGAGATGCAATATCCAGAAATTCTCGCCGCCATAAGAATCCAAGTTACAGTAGAATTGAAGCCATATGGGCTGATGCAGGCTGAATGTATGGACTATGAAGCAGTGTTACGTGGTCATCCTAATATCAAGATGAGGACAATATGCAACACTCCACATAGGTTCAGAAGTCAATATAGATATAAAATTGCCAAGAAGAATGCAAATGATTTCAATAAACAAGTTCAATCACAAGGTATTCTTGCCTCCGGTTCTGGCAAGCTGCCTGGGGGAACTGGACTGGCGACATGGAACACTCCGACACACCCCGTGATGGCTGTAGAAAGAGAGTTGTAATCCAGCAGGTCCACCTTGAAGAGTTTAAGTTTGTTGGATGCTTTTTCAAGTTTTTTCAAATGAGAATTTTTCTCATCATCTGCAAGATAAATTGAATAGGATTTACAGAGCCATATGAAAATCTTTTAGATCAAGGAATATATGTTCATAAACATGTTATTCTATATTAAAACAGAAAGAGCATCAACTAGAGAGAGAGAGAGAGAGCTACAATAATCATACGAGTTGAATAGATGATGAGATTGGTATGTAAAAGATATAACAGTGGTTAGAGAGGCGATGGAAAGTTGAGGAGAGGGAGAGGGAGAGGGATAGGGATAGGCATAGGGATTGGGGGACTTACGAGGATCTCTGACGGTTCCATGGATGGAGTAACCATTAGAGAGAAGAAGCTTCACCAACCAAGAAGCTACGTACACTCCCACCTCTGTCACGCACACTGTGCCTTTCTCTTCCGCCATTCACTCGCTGAGTCAACCACTACTACGCCCTATAGCCACCACAACCCACTCATACTGCCCTCACCTCATCAAAAACACACAACTCTTATAAAAAGATAATTACGAGTCGGTTACGGAGGCTTTTCCATATTAAGTCTATTTTGTATCTTAATTTCTAAATTAGGTCTAGTTTGGACAGAATTCTCAAATCAAGCTAAAGCGTTATTATAAATCGCACTTTCACTGTTTGAGGCCGAAAAGTTGATGAACATTGAAGCGCTATTCGAAATAGCGCTTTTAATTAAGTAAGCGTGGTTGCAGACCACGCTTTTAACATAATTTTGTTTTTCTGAAAAAACGTGATTTCAAACCACGCTTTCACTGTGCATCTCGTTTTAATTTGTGTTCTGAATTTCACTGTGCATAGAATTTTTTTTTTCCTGAAGAAAGCACTATTCAAAATCACGCTTTTACTGTTTACTACAAGAAGCGTGGATTGAAACCACGCTTTCACTGTTCATTTAATTTAAATTTTTTTTTCTGTTATTGTTTTTGGTGGTAATGTAATTCATTAAATTTTTTTTTTCTTTTGCCTTTGTTTTGGGTTAGAAGGTGTAATTGAGAAATTTTTTTTATCTTTACTAAAACCGTTTTCATGTAATTTTTTTTTGTTTTTTGTTTTAGGTTAGAAGGTGATAATGTAATTCATAAATTTTTTTTGGCTTTACGAAAAAATATGTATTAAAAAATTATATAAATTAGTGTATAGGAGAAGATTTGATGGAATAGGCGGTATAGTGGGTTGAATCCAAGGATAGCGTCGGCAGAGTAGAGGCTAGGAGATGATTTCCTGCTTTTTGGGCATTGAATTGGAGGTGCTGTTTGGCCCGTGGAGGTGCTGTTCGTTTTAGAGGGCGACAACAACGGGCTCTAGGGGAGTGCGACAGAGGATCCAGATTCATTTTGGCAACGCAGACAGAAGCCACAGAGAGAGAGTGACAGATTCTTTCCTATTCCCTGACCAACTACGCCGTGCCACCTCATGTTTTGAATGAGATCTCCCGCTACTTGGCCGATGATACCTGAGTACTAACAATAAAAGACTCATTTTACCTCTCTTGCCTATGCTCTCTGCTACCCTTCCTTGTGGGGTCTTTCTACTAGTATTACCATATCTATCAACATTTTTTTTCACCAATTTTACACTACATTTTTTTTCACCAATTTTACACTGATTTATTTAGGACTGAGCATGAAATCCGTGAAATTCATAATCTGATTCAGTTCAGTCCAATTTGATAGATTTAGATTGATTTTTTTAATCCATGGTTCGGTTCTGGATTGAAGTCCACGATTCCGAATTGGAACCGATCCAGACCATATATAAATAGTCTATATTTTTATTATACACCATACCCCATAGTATCTTCTCTTATTCCATATAAAACCTAAACCCAAACCTAAACTCGTGTAGGATCTTTTTTTATTACTTTTGTTTGTTAGTTTTTAGTTTTAATCTGTAATGGTCTTAATACTTATGGTGAAACCAGTTTTCTTATGGTTGTTTAAATTCTAGAACAATATGTCACTATCATAGAAAGATATGTTGCTATTGTGAAACTAATATAGTGTTATGTTTATGTTCTTATGAAATTAAAGTGTTATATATATTTTTTTGTTACTTAATTATGTGAGTCTGTGATAATAAAGCGATCCAATCCATGTTTAAATGGATTGGTTTAGATTGGTTTCATGATTTAAACCGATTTGATTGATTTCAATTTTTCAAGAACCGTAGATAACGGATTGGCCTTGGTTTTACCTCAATCCGGTCCAATCCGGAACAATATGTCACTATTATAGAAAGATATGTTGCTATTGTGAAACTAATATAGTGTTATGTTTATGTTCTTATGAAATTAAAGTGTTATATATTTTTTTTTTGTTACTTAATTATGTGAATCTGTGATACTAAACCGATCCAATCCGTGTTTAAATGGATTGGTTTCATGATTTAAACGGATTGGATTGATTTCAATTTTTCAAGAACCGTAGATAACGGATTGGTCTTGGTTTTACCTCAATCCGGTCTAATCCAGACCATGCTCGCCCTTAGATTTATTCATTTAAATATCAATTATAAAATAAATTTTAATTATTCAATAACAAAAAATTAAAGCCTCATTTGACAACTCCGTGCTTTAGCCTAAAAATCAAAAAATTAGTAAAAAAACTAAAAATCCAGCAATTTATACCAAAAAATCAAAAGATCTCTTTTCTCTCTACTTTTTGCACATCTTTTCATAAAAAATTAAAAAGTCATTCCAAACATACTAATTTTTTTTCCTAAAATAATATGTTCCCAAACGAGGTCTAATTGCTTCAATAAACTCTTTTTATTACTACATAAAAAGTAAAAAAAATAAAAAGTTCAAACAAAATTGAGTTATGAGGCAACATTACCTTCAAAATAAAAGAAATTTTTTGTGTGCAAGAAACGAAATTAAAATTGAAATAAAAATACTAGGTTGCATGAGAAATTTTCATATAAAAAAAAGTTGTATGTTTTTTGATTTTTTTTTGTTTAAGTAGTATATTCTGTGCGCTTTCCACCTTTCTCATCATTTGGTGAAGTATCTCTGTATTTTTTTTAATGAAATTATGGCTCATTTTTTCATTCAAGGAAGAACTCTTCCAGTGTTAAGGTTTGACTCCCATGGAGCTGGACCACAAACAAGGGTAACCTCTGTGATTGTACAATTGTTGCTATGGATTTTTTTTTATATTTAAAAATATATACATTGGAATACAAATACAACTTTCGAAATAAAAAATCAGAAAGAACTTACGCACGCACGTACGTTGGGAGAGCAAAAACCCTTGATTTTCTAGTGAGATAGAAGATCAAGTGCTTCGGCTAACCGGGTATATCAACGGGGGTTAAAGAATCAGAAAGAACTTACGCACGCACGTACGTTGTGAGAGTAAAAACCCTTGATTTTCTAGTGAGATAGAAGATCAAGTGCTTCGGCTAACTGGGTATATCAACGGGGTTATGCTCTAGCAAAGTGGGGTTATGGAGCCAACCAACCAATACTTCTTACTTTTACTTCCAGACCCCTTCATATGTATGTCCCCCTATTATACGTTACCCAGCACAAGAAACCAAATAACCCAATAATGGATAGGAAAATCTACAGGAAGTGTTGTTCTTTATATGGTTCACGGTTTCCAGGATTAACTGAATTACAGAACATGAGGTATTACTTGTTAGAACAATCTTCTATGTAAAAAAAATAAATTGAAACTAAATCAAACAAAATAAAATAAATAACTTACAGAATTTATTTTATTGAACTGAATGAAAAATAAAAGACCAAGTCGAGTGTGTGACACTCTGTTCTTAAGACAAATTCGCCCTGGTTCGGTGCTTCCGGACTAATGGCGTCTATCTCCCAGGATATAATTATCTTCACAAATTTATAGTAGCACTCCAAATAAATTTGTCCGGCGAACTAGAACCTTGTGTTCTATACTCTCTTTAATTTTTCTCTAAAACTAGAATGAAGAATAAATAATGCAAACAGAGCAAAGTTGGACAGCAAGAAAATCAATTTTTTCTGTCTATTTTCTGGATGCAAAGACTGCAGAGCAGATCTGAATTTATAGGCATCTAAGACTGCCGAACAGGTGCAGTATTTTGAACTGAACAGGTAAGGTTTCAAATGAACAAGTGCAAACACCAATTGAACAGATAACTGCTGGAAATAAGATCTGTTTGAACTGTGTGAACCTATCGAACAGTGCAGATTTGGAACTGTAACTACTGGGCAGTTATGAGCAGTTTTATGCAGTTAATCTGTTGAAAATGCAAACTGAATTTGGTAATATATGGACAGAAAATTAATTTCAATTTTGACACAAAATTGGAATTTAATTTCATTAAGATTTTCTGGAAAAAATTCAAATAAATTTTATCCAAAAAATTAATATCAGAACCGACCCACAACCGCGCACGGCTCGGCTCGGTCGGACGGGCGGCGGCGCGCGTGTGGTAGTTTGGGCTAAGGTTCCATTTGTCCATAACTCCTCCCTTCTACAAACTTGGTGTGCCCCTTGAGGCCCAACCCAAGTGTTGTAGTCTAGAGCTTATATACAACAAAAAAACTTTCTTAAAGTTTCAATGTGGGACAACCCATTTTAAGGAAATCCACATTTAAATCTTTAAATGTCCATTCCACGAACCCGAAAACGACGTCAACTTCCCATTCACTCATAAATGGTTTTGACGAACCGTCTTCACTGTGTGACTTGCCACGCGGCAAGGAACACGTCACCTCTTCAGACCCACCTCAAAAGACGTTTGGAGCCCTCTCCATTTTGGGCTCAAAGTTGGCCCAAAATAAGCCTTATAAACCAAATTTTCCAACATTACTCGTATTTCAGGACGACAGCTTCAAGAATACCATCAGATCTGAAGTGGGGTGAAAAAAGCCTTGGATCAACAGGTCCCAGCGGACTGAAAGAAAGTGTGAATGGTCTGGGTGGGCATTGTTGCTGAAATTTCATTTCATAAATACGAGAATGTCTCAAAACAGTTTTTCCACCAGTTGATGTCACACCCCGTACATGGACCTTTCCATCACGTTCAATCTCACAGCTGAACTGACCTGCTAGAACAGATGCTATCAAGTTCTTAGAAGTAAACACAGAGTCTTGTAAAGAAAGGCACCAAAAGAGCAAAGAAAAAGATTTTTTAGATCACTCAAATGAAATACAATTACATTATCCCAAATGCAAGACAGATTTTGGTTTTAACTCGTGAAAGACTAAAAATAGAAGATCATGCATACCATGTGTGTACATGTTTCTTGAAGCAAAAGAGTAGTCATAGTTATTAACTAAATTTAAATGGTCTAATGCAAAAACAAAGATAAACTAAGGATAAATGCACCATAAAGCAATTGTTTATCCACTCCCAAGGCATACGTAAATGCACCAAAGTACGTTCTGAAAAATAAACTAAGCATAAATGCACCATAAAGCAATTGTTTATTGACTCTCAAGACATACATAATTGCACCAAAGTATGTTCTGAATAAATAATTTCAAACTATCCTATTTATAGATTCCACTAGAAAATTTTAGTAAACAAATTGACCACATGCTGGAGACGAATCTCGTGAATCTCTTTCTATAAAGGTTGTGTAGATAACTCCTGCACTTCTATTTTACTGCTGGCCTTTCGGGAATTATCCAAACCTAAGTACATACTGAGCAAGTTGACCACACGCTGGAGACAAACCTTGTGATTCTCTTTCTATGAAGGTTGTCTAGAAAATGCCTGTCATAAAAAATAAAAACGAAACCCATAACTAATTTGTAGCCTCCATAATTTCCAAGAATGCAGATCCATTAACTGGCAGTGTCATTTTTCATCCAACAATTGTAAACCTTGTGGTGCAGCATAGTGTTCTTACCACCTTTTTTGCAGATTTTTTTCCAGTAGAGTCAAGAGGGTTCCTTACACAGTCTTATCAATCTAAATAACATGTTTGGCAGATATGTAGTTGTATGCAGAATAGTAAGCCTAGGCTGCTGTATATTCATCCTTACAAGATGTTTTGGTGGTCTGTGTAACATGCAGTTCCATACCATAATAAATAACGTGCTTATAGTCCTTTGAGTGTCTGGCCATGCTCATGCCTAGATTTGTTGGCATGTATGTAAGTTTCTGTAGTATATGACGTCCTACTTCCTCATAGGTTTTGTCCTTTCTTGGTTTTGTTTTGAGTGCAGTTTTCTAAGTGATTTGTATATGCACACAGAAGTTTAGTTCCTAGGCTTCAGTTTTTATATAGGGTTTTCGCCCCTTTAAGGTGGTTTTGGTAATAAATTTATGCTTACAAAAAGAAAAAAGGCCGTCTTTGTAATAACCCACATTCATGTCTTAGTCATGTTCATGTACATTTGCATGATTTTGTCATGTTAAGCTTGCATTTGCAGACTTTGACTTGTTTTGCCTAAGTAAAGGTACCAGTCTTGTTTTATGCTTATGTGATTTGCCTAAGTGTTGTATGCATGTTTTGTTCCTTCCTTGCTATGTCAAGCCTAGGTCATGCCAAGCCTAGGTCATGTCAAGCCTAAGTCATGCCAAGCCTAGGTCATGTTAAGCCTAGGTCATGCCAAGCCTAGGTCATGTTAAGCCTAGGTCATACCAAGCCTAGGTCATGTTAAGCCTCGGTCATGCCAAGCCTAGGTCATGCCAAGCCTAGGTTATGTTAAGCCTAGATCATTCCAAGCTGAGGCCATCTTCAGTCTAGAAGTATCTTGGAACCCCTTTGTTTGACCTCCACCTTTGCTTTGACATATTGGCCGAGATGTCATTATCCAGGCCGAGGTATGAATCACCAAGGCCGAGATGTGTATTATCTGGGCCGAGATGTTACCTTTGCACCCAAGTGATCTTGTCCTGGAGTGGTATGACCTAGACCGAGGTGTGGCACATCTAGGCCAAGGTGTGGCACAGCTTAGTCAAGTGTTGTCCTTCCTAGCCGAGGTCATTGTCACCTTAGTTGCCGAAGTCTTGTGGTTAGCCGATGTCACCACTTGCCGGAGTGCCATCCCGAGTAGCTTGTTAGATACGCCTTGTCAGAACCTTGTCTTGTCAATCCATCACCTTTTTGAAGAGAACCAACCAACCGTTGCCACGTGTCCGAGCTGAGAGTTAAGTCAGCCGGCAGAGAGAGAAACCCATCATTTGTTGTATATTGTTTTGAAGAGTAGAGAGAGAAGCTCTAGAAGAGGGAGAAGAGTTCTTGAGAGAGAGTAGATTTCCAAGCTTGATTCCTAGAGATCCAACCGTTAGATCCGCGTTCTAAGGTTAGATCCTTGATCTGCTCATGATGTTCTTTATGTTTATGTTATTGCATTGCACGATTGAAAATGATTTGTATGCCATGCATTGCTTTGAAGTTCGGTTTTAGAAAGAGAAAATGGCATTCATGTGTTCTTCAAGAAAAGTCATGTTTTGATCCGAAGGCTCATGCCTAGATCCATGTTTTTGTGTTTGTTCTTGCATGATTTTCAAAGTATGGGCACCCAGGTCCATGTTTTCGAACTCATGTCATGAAATCCCAGATCTTGTAATAACAAGTTATGATTTTAGCATTCATATTCTTCATGTTCTTCATGCTCATGTTCTTCAAGGAGGAAACCCAGATTTCCAGACTTCATTTCCCTAGGTGTGATCACCGACACCACTCTTGCCTAGATCACACACCTAGGCCAAGCATCGTATCTCACCTTGGCCTACCTTGCATGTAAGCCCGTAGGGCATTTTGTTATGAGGTTAACATGTAATACTTATGTAATGGAATTCTAATGAATGAAAGGAATGCGGTTAGTTTAAATGTAAATGTATGTCTTATTAGATGGATTTATTGTTGTTATTTTGAGGGCGTTACAGGTGTGGGACCTCGGCCAAGACCTCCTGAGTTCACTTAGCTAGGTCATTTTTGCCTAGATCATTTCTGTGCATCTATTCCAAGACCTGCTTGGTACCCAGCATGTTTACCCTAGGTATTTCCAGCATGTTTTCCCTAGATGTTTTCCAGCATGTTTCCCTAGATGATTTCAAGCATGATTTTCAAGATTCGCCGACATGAAATAAATGGCACCGCCGATGTGAATACAAAAACAAAGCCGACATAATCATGAATCCAAATAAGCTTTCAAAAACAGTCTAGGCGTCGCCGACGTCCTGCTCATCACCTACATATACCTGATCCCGACATCCCAAGAGTTATGTGAGTGGTATTTTTAATAAAGTTATGTTATAAAGTTTTGGCAAAGCCTTGCTTCGTTTTAGAAAAGTATTTGATCAAGCATGAATAATTATCCCTATTTGTATATCAAACGCCATCTTGTTTTGATGACATGTCTTGAAAGTCCTTAGTTGCAGGGGACTATAATGCAACTGCACTCTTGTCTTGAAAGTCCTTAGTTGCAGGGGACTATAATGCAACTGCACTCTTGTCTTATGTAGATGTTATTTAACATCCCAAGCAAGATTTGAAAGACCAAGATTTGATCGATGAACTTGATTCATCCCATGTTTTGAACAAGCTATGATATATGCATTGTTTTGACAAGGACCTTGGAAATCATTCATTTAACCCCTTTATTACTTATACCATTCACTGAGTATCCAAGCTCACCCTCCTTATGTATATATGTAGGTAATAAGCAAGAGGTCGGCTTCGCCAAGATGTGTGTTTTGTATGCTTGTTTGGTCGGCTGTAAGGATGTCGGCAATCCTGAAGATCATGTTCCACGTTTTGTATTTCATGTGTTATATTTATGTCGGCTTGAGAAGCCCTTTGCCAAGATGTAACATGTACTTTTGTAATCAAGTTATAAGTTATGTAAAGATGTATGCCATTCCATTTGACTATGCACTGCTCTTATGGACCACTTGTATTTTAGATTATTGCTTCCGCACTTGTGAGCCCCGTATATTGTACTCTGATTGTGTGTGAATTTTGTATGTTGGCCTTCGGTAATTACGAATTACTGGCCATCACGGCACCAAACTACTAGGGGCGGTTTGGGGGCGTGACAGTCTTGCTTGCCAAATAGGCAATATTTTAAGTTTTTAAAAAATTTAGAACAAGGCAAGGGAAAGGAAACACTATCCAAGAGAAAATTGCTTGAAAGGGAAACACTACTACAGGCATCAGTTGCAATTACGTTAAATGCACTAGATCAAAGTGTTAGGTGTACATGGTTGTCTCCAAGAATCAGACTCGTGCCCAAATGACATAGATACTCCAGTAGCATAAAAATATTTATGCCAGAAGATGCAAAAACACACAGGGTAGCCCAATGCCTTGGATTCCTTGCACTGGATAGAAAGAACATGTCTTCTCATCCTTAGATGCAATAGAATCTTTTTGACCCAGTTCAGCATTAAGAAAAACTTGGATTTTTAATCCCCTGTAACTTAAAGGCATAAAACCCTTGAAACACATTGGCATTAAAGCCTTGAAACATATGGCATAAAAGCCCTTGGAACATCTGGCGCAATAGCCCCTTGAAACAGATGGCATAAAAAGCCCTTAAAAGATGGCATATAGCCCTTGAAAAGTTGGCATGAAGCCCTTGAACATAGATTGGCATTAAGCCCATGTAATGGCACAAAGCCCTTGTAATGGCATAAAGCCCTTGTAACTTGTGATGGCATAAAGCCCATGTAATGGCATAAAGCCCTTGTAAGGGCATAAAGCCCATGGAATGGCATAAAGCCCTTGTAATGCACTTGAAACTTGTGGCACGAGGCCCTTGAAATACACTTGAAACTTGTGGCACGAGGCCCTTGAAATACACTTGAAACTTGTGGCACGAGGCCCTTGAAATACACTTGAAACTTTTAATGAGAATGATTTCAGTCTTCTTAAAGTATCAGTATGCAATAATACACATAAGTTTCTCATGGCCTGATTACAAATTAATACAGGTGTCTCGCGAACAACTGAATAATAATAATCATAACAATTATTAACTGAGGCCACATAATACTAGTAAACATTGCATGCGTGTCATAGGTTCTTGATGACCTCGGGTCCATAAGTAACACAATAGAATAATCTCAATATCATACAGATACTTGGCTTAAAGATGAACATAATTCCATATATTCATTCAGAAACGGCGTAGTTTGCTTATAAATAACAGGGAATTATTATTCATTATTAACAGAACATAGTAATTTCAAAGTCATACCGATGTATGCCAATCTTTCAACGTTCACATTGACTTTCAATCATCATAAATGTTCATGTAACATGTTCGTGTAACACTTACAAGAAACAAAGTGTTAGTGATAATAGTTATCAATGATAAATAAATTGTATATCTTCGTACTATTACTCACCGTGTGTCGGTGGGGCATTTATTCCTCCCGAAGTGTGTCCTACACACATATGAAATCACACATTACTTTTCTAAATCATTTCCCCTAATTTCCTCTTTCATTTTAACATGATTCACAATGCTCATAATATAGTTCATTCGCAAATTTTTAACATTATTTCAAAACATCTCAAAAATCCAATTAAACTTGTACACGTATAATTCAACCCACCAATTCCATGATTCTATTTTCAATTTGGGCAAAATCATTATTTATCATCACAAATTGACCTAGGGTTTCAAGAAAAAAAATATAAACTTTTCCATAAAAATACAAACTCCTCATACTATGACCTTATATCCCAATTTTCTCCTTGATTACATATCTATGGGTCATACTCCATCACCTTAACCCATCAATCGAACCCTCAATGCTTCAAACCCGAAATTCCCAAATCTCATAATTTACTCTATTTGCTCAAAAATGCAAATTCGTACATTTATACAATGGAAATACCACAAACCTATCTCTTGATGTAAGTATTGAAGAGTATTAGAACCCTTACCTCAAGAATCAACAAAGGAGCAAGCTTGAGGAGAAACCTTCGCAAATCCGAGTTCCAATCGGGTAAAAACATTGATCTTTTCTTATTCTCCATCCTTGATGCAAAAACCATGGTGGATTGTTGTTCAAAATAGAGGAAATCAAGGTTTTGAGGCTAGGGTTTCGGAGGGTTTCGGACTTAGGAGAAGAGGGAAGAAGAAAGGGGAAAGAAAATGTGGAAAAAGATCTCAAAATCCCGTTTTTACGTTGCTGTACTCGCCAACCCCGCTCGAGCGTCCTTATTCCCGCTCGAGCGTACCTGTTCCCAGCACAGATTTCAAAACTTTAATCATGTGTAACTCTCTCATCCGGGCTCCGTTTTAGGCCGTTCTTGTGTCCAAATTGAAGCCCCGGAGATAAGCTTTTCAATGGTCCTAACCTCACATTCAAATTCAAAGTGTGGAAAAAGAAAAGGGCAAAAGAGTGACTGTTGAACATAAACAAATTGTTCGAATTAAAGTTTTTGGTCCTATCTTACTTCACCATCAAATTACCATCTCAATCAATACTCCAAAATAAACTAGGAAGGTTCCAAATACACTACTACAATGTCAAGGGTAATCTTACTTTTCACGCTCGAGCGCCTCTTTCCCCGCTCGAGCGCGCACAGACCAATAAAGCAGTCCGCTCGAGCGTCAACTTCTCCGCTCGAGCGGAGATTCACAACTCCCAGAATCTCAGGCCGTCTGCAAAATTGCTGAGAACCCCAAAAGTCCGCTCGAGCGTCAAATCCTCCGCTCGAGCGGAGGGAAATAATTCTGGGTCGTCACATTGCCTTTGCTATGAATATGATATTAACTGCCATTGATAGTCATAGTCATAGTCATAGTCATATTAGCTGCAACTTTCTTAACCAAATTCTTATAATGATAGGAGATGTCACCCGCAAACAAGATGTTCAAAAAGCATTACACGGCGCAGATTGTGTTTTTCACCGTGCTTCATATGGCATGTCTGGGAAAGAAATGCTCCAATTTGGCCGCGTGGATGATGTGAATATAAACGGAACTTGCCATGTCTTGGATGTCACGCCCTCAAAATAAACCCATAATAACCATAACATTAACATGCATTTAGGCTTGTTTATGTGAGCACATACAACGTTGTGTTTGGGGCTAAGGAGATTATCAATGGCAATGAAACCTTACCTTATTTCCCTCTTGATGATTATGTTGATCCATACAGCCGCAGCAAATGTATTGCTGAACAGTTAGTTCTAAAGAGCAATGGGCGCCCTCTCAAGTACGTAATTTTATTTTCACAAGTTCACCAGTCAGGCTGTCTTTGACATCTTGTTTAGTAGGTGTGCTTCTCACTTCTTTAACTATGTTTTTATGACTCTTGTTGTTCTTGGCTTCAAGTTTCAACTGGTTTAAAAAATAAATAAACAAATAAATTGTCACTTTTATGTATTAGCAAATGGGTTGGTATGTGTCAAGCATCTACTAACATGAATATGAAATTTTCCATAATATATTTTTGAACTATAGAAGTAGTATAGAGAACAATGTTGTGATCTATTAAATAGAGGTTAAAAGAGTATGCATAACTTGTGATCCTAACAAGACACCTTAAATAAACATGAAAAAGCAGTACCTTGAATAGTGTAAAAATGATTCTGGTGTGCATTGCCTCAAGCAGATCTATAAGACATTGCCTTTGTTTAGAAAAGTCATTCAACTTTCTTATGACTCATTGAATTCCCTTCTTTAATCTTGCAAATCCCAGCAATCTGAGTAAGAAGACAGTGTTTCAGATGCAATTCTTACTAGACCCCTACTACAAGTACAGGGTTCTTTGTGGAAATTATTGTTGACTGTTGAGAACTTCATCTTAGTTGTTTTCTCTCTTCAATTTACTTATTCAGGTTATATTGAAGAATTATGCATTCTCACTTTTCAAAATTTTGTTTGTTATCTGGAAAATAGCATAAGAAAGTCAAACTCAGATTGATGAAAATATCCTCCCTTTTTCAGATTTGCAGTATCAAGTTCTTCGCGCCTTTAGAGAAAGAGAATCAACACATGAATTTCAATGCTTGACCTGACCTCGTCTAGTTTGTAAGATTCTGATTTATGTACGATGTTTCTATGCTATGTAGGAAGAAGAATGGAAATCTCTATACATGCGTAATTCGTCCGGCTGCTATCTACGGACTAGGTGAGGAGAGACATCTCCCCCGCATTATAAATCTTTCAAAGTTAGGTCTGCTGCCATTCAAAATTGGTGAAGAAAGAGTGAAGTCAGACTGGGTTTATATAGATAACCTTGTTCTGACCCTAATATTGGCTAGCATGGGACTCTTGGATGACATTCCCCAGAGGGAAGGACGTCCAATAGCTGCTGGTCAACCATACTTTATATCAGATGGTAATATTCAATCCATTTGCTTAGAAATATTTTACTTATTTCGTGGCAACTAGAGCTATTAAAGTTGAGTAATGCTATACAAACTAACACAACTTACAAAGTCGCATGATTTGTACCTATTATATTATTTGAGTGGGTCCCATTTCAAATACCGAAGTCTTATGACTGCGTGTCACATATCTGTGAGAAAAGTTAGTAAGATTTGTTAGTCTGTATAGTATTGTCTATTAAAGTTATTGATTAACCCTTGATTCCAAGGAAGGACTACTTGAATGTGAAAAACTGATTAGTGACTAGAGTCAACTGTGTTTAATATTTAACTGTTTTCCATGCAATGGTTTAATATTAGGCAATGATTTACAGGGTCTCCAGTCAACAGTTTTGAATTCCTTCGCCCACTACTCCAGAGCTTGGAGTATGACCTGCCAAAGCGGTCATTAGCTGTCTCTCATGCTCTTGTTCTGGGAAGGATATTCCAGTTGGTCTACACTATCTTATATCCATGGTTGAACCGATGGTGGCTTCCTCAACCATTGATGCTTCCTACTGAAGTACACGAGGTTCACTTCTAAATTACCTCGTTTTCTGGTTGAATATAATTGTAGACTTGTAAAGCATTCCTTACTGCTTACAAAAACAACAAACATTGGGTCTTGGGGGTGGGCTCCCTTCAAGGTTCAGGGATCGAAACCTCTTAGGTACTAACAATTCCTTGGGGCCACCGGACTAGGAAAAAACCCTTGAATTAATGGTGGTGCACTTGAAGGAAACTCCTTGCCGAGAGCCTGTGCATCCCTAGGGATTAGTCGGGCTTTGATCCTCACACCTAGTGCCAATCCAAAAATAAAATAAATCAGAGAGAAGGGTTATCTCCCTTATATTAGGGGTTTTTTCCCATATATTATAGTAGTACAGTCTAAAGTACAAAAGTATCCTTACACAACGCAACATAACATAAAATCACTTCCTACTTGGATGTTATAAAGGGTCATCTATATACCCCTCTACTGGTTTCAATTTAAGTGGTTAATGCAACATATCGTCACTTTGATGCATACCTCCTATTGCCACTCGGCAGTTTCCTAAAATTCTGCAGTTCTCACCTGGCCTAGTTACAATTGATCCTGCACCTTCCCACATGGTTTACCATAATTCCTTCCACCCCATCTCAACACCCACATTTCCAGACAAACTTGAAACATTCTCTAACATCTGTTGTTAGGTTTTGCAAGTTTCACTACTGTGTACTGAACCATATCTGATATATTTGTGTGTGTTTTATTTCTTGACAGGTTGGGGTTACTCATTACTTCTCTTTCCTAAAAGCAAAGGAGGAGCTTGGCTATGTCCCTATGGTGAGTCCTCAGGAGGGCATGGCCGCAACCATATCATATTTTCAAGAGAGGAAAATGAGAAGTTTGGACGGGCCTACAGTATATACATGGATGTTTAGTGTAATTGGAATGACTTTGCTATTTATTGCTGCATATTGGCCAGCTTTCGGACCTATGTCGCTTTTAAGAGATTTCTGTCTCTTCTTCTTCCGGTCTATGTGGGTAATGAGAATGGTGTTCATTTTGGCTACAGCAGCTCATATTGGAGAGGCTATGTATGCGTGGCATCTGGCAAAAAAAGTGGATCCTTTGAATGTAAGAGGCTGGTTTTGGCATACTCTTGCGCTTGGGGTTCTTTCATTGCGTTTCCTGTTGAAGAGAGCCAGGAAGTAAGTTGGAGCATCTATTGTCGATATAATCTTTTTAGCAGCTGTATTTACTACTGTATAAGGTCAGTTCCTTCGTAGGCAGTAAAATAGGACACAGCTAGGGGTTTAGAATTTTTTGGTAGTGTTGAAAAATGTGATCAGAGATCCTCTTTTTATTTCTATGAACAACCACTGTGTCTCTATCAAAGGAGATTTGATTTGATTTGATTTCATCTGCGGGAGTATCTAAAGCCCGAAGTGAATCCGCCTAGTTTGAACTTTGATTGCTGAGAAAACAGGTATGTAAAAAGAGTAGATCTACCTCTGCTAATTTGCCCTGACCCAGCTCAGCTCTTCGACCTCAAGCCCAGGACTAGTAAGCTAAGAAACCATGTTGTTTGCCTGGGTGTTAACAAGATGGGATTAATGAGCAGGAATTTGAGTTTGAGCAATCACACCTGGGAGCCTCAAAATGCATCCTTTAATAATAATAATAATAATAATAATAATAATAATAATAATAATAATAATAATAATAATAATAATAATAATAATAATAATAATAATAATAATAATAATAATAATAATAATAATAATAATAATAATAATAATAATAATAATAATAATAATAATAATAATAATAATAATAATAATAATAATAATAATAATAATAATAATAATAATAATAATAATAATAATAATAATAATAATAATAATAATAATAATAATAATAATAATAATAATAATAATAATAATAATAATAATAATAATAATAATAATAATAATAATAATAATAATAATAATAATAATAATAATAATAATAATAATAATAATAATAATAATAATAATAATAATAATAATAATAATAATAATAATAATAATAATAATAATAATAATAATAATAATAATAATAATAATAATAATAATAATAATAATAATAATAATAATAATAATAATAATAATAATAATAATAATAATAATAATAATAATAATAATAATAATAATAATAATAATAATAATAATAATAATAATAATAATAATAATAATAATAATAATAATAATAATAATAATAATAATAATAATAATAATAATAATAATAATAATAATAATAATAATAATAATAATAATAATAATAATAATAATAATAATAATAATAATAATAATAATAATAATAATAATAATAATAATAATAATAATAATAATAATAATAATAATAATAATAATAATAATAATAATAATAATAATAATAATAATAATAATAATAATAATAATAATAATAATAATAATAATAATAATAATAATAATAATAATAATAATAATAATAATAATAATAATAATAATAATAATAATAATAATAATAATAATAATAATAATAATAATAATAATAATAATAATAATAATAATAATAATAATAAATTATTGGACATTCCACCTTTCATAATTTTGTTTAGAGCAATGCTCTATAGAAACAAATTTTGTGTTAAAAAATTCATACAAATGATGTATCTTATTTGTATCTTGTTTTTTGAGGAATCTCATTTATATCTATTTATGGGGAGTTGACATATCCATCATTTAAGTATAAGAATCTTATTATCACATCATTCTTTTCTTAAATTTTGTGAGAAAATTTTGTTTGAATATCACTCCTCTTTAATATCATTTTACCAAGTTAAATTATTAAAAAGGACAAAAAAATCCTCCCTAATTCCGGCCAGTCCCTACCTAGATCTTCCTGTCATGGCCCCACGCTTTCCCATTGTTCGGCATCAACCAGACACCTCCCCAACTTACCACCACCCTATCCCCTTCTCCCAACCAATCGCACTCACCTCCCCTATTGCAAATCGACTTATCCCTCCTTTCCTATTGCAAATCGACTTATCCCTCCTTTCCTATTGCAAATCGACTTATCCCTCCTTTCCTATTGCAAATCGACTTATCCCTCCTTTCCTATTGCAAATCGACTTATCCCTCCTTTCCTATTGCAAATCGACTTATCCCTCCTTTCCTATTGCAAATCGACTTATCCCTCCTTTCCTATTGCAAATCGACTTATCCCTCCTTTCCTATTGCAAATCGACTTATCCCTCCTTTCCTATTGCAAATCGACTTATCCCTCCTTTCCTATTGCAAATCGACTTATCCCTCCTTTCCTATTGCAAATCGACTTATCCCTCCTTTCCTATTGCAAATCGACTTATCCCTCCTTTCCTATTGCAAATCGACTTATCCCTCCTTTCCTATTGCAAATCGACTTATCCCTCCTTTCCTATTGCAAATCGACTTATCCCTCCTTTCCTATTGCAAATCGACTTATCCCTCCTTTCCTATTGCAAATCGACTTATCCCTCCTTTCCTATTGCAAATCGACTTATCCCTCCTTTCCTATTGCAAATCGACTTATCCCTCCTTTCCTATTGCAAATCGACTTATCCCTCCTTTCCTATTGCAAATCGACTTATCCCTCCTTTCCTATTGCAAATCGACTTATCCCTCCTTTCCTATTGCAAATCGACTTATCCCTCCTTTCCTATTGCAAATCGACTTATCCCTCCTTTCCTATTGCAAATCGACTTATCCCTCCTTTCCTATTGCAAATCGACTTATCCCTCCTTTCCTATTGCAAATCGACTTATCCCTCCTTTCCTATTGCAAATCGACTTATCCCTCCTTTCCTATTGCAAATCGACTTATCCCTCCTTTCCTATTGCAAATCGACTTATCCCTCCTTTCCTATTGCAAATCGACTTATCCCTCCTTTCCTATTGCAAATCGACTTATCCCTCCTTTCCTATTGCAAATCGACTTATCCCTCCTTTCCTATTGCAAATCGACTTATCCCTCCTTTCCTATTGCAAATCGACTTATCCCTCCTTTCCTATTGCAAATCGACTTATCCCTCCTTTCCTATTGCAAATCGACTTATCCCTCCTTTCCTATTGCAAATCGACTTATCCCTCCTTTCCTATTGCAAATCGACTTATCCCTCCTTTCCTATTGCAAATCGACTTATCCCTCCTTTCCTATTGCAAATCGACTTATCCCTCCTTTCCTATTGCAAATCGACTTATCCCTCCTTTCCTATTGCAAATCGACTTATCCCTCCTTTCCTATTGCAAATCGACTTATCCCTCCTTTCTGTGCAAGTCTATCTCTCCCTCTCAAGGCTCTCTAATGGCAAGAGTGGGGGTTAGGGTTCAAGTCTGAGAGGGAGAAGGTGGCGTTGGCAGGCCGGATATGTGGAGGGTGTGTAAAGGTAAGGTGAACTAATTTTGGGTGCATCAAACAAAAATCAACAAAATTTAAATTTGAGTGCCGAAAGGTACAGGATATCCAACAATTTTTTCGTGATGCATTTAGATACTTCCATTAAATATTACCTCTGACAAACTGTGCCATCCAAAACAACTGGGAAAGCAAGATAAAGGCATTGAAATGGTCACAAGTTCTGCAACAAATCTTGGATGAAGAAACTGCAATTTACTACGACAGTATTACCCAAGCAAAAACTACCTGGAGAAATGGGCTAGAATCATTAAGGAAACCTAAAACTTGATCAATGGAGAAACAAAACAAAGGAGACAGTTTGGTACCATTTAAATCTAATGGACAACAACAGAGACTCTACTGTTCTCAACAAAAAATAAATCACCATGAGCTGTTCTATAGAACCTTACTAACACAACTAATTAATAACTTATCAACACAATTGGAGAAGGGCACCAACTGTCACTACAAGGTTGGCTACTCCTAACAAGACCAAGGTCACACTGCAAAGTCAAGTCACCAGTTGTCTTTATTCTGCACCACTAAAATTACACAACGCGCGCACTTAACTTACAAACGGGGTCTCTCAAAGGGTGAACGAAAGCCAAGCTCCACAGAAAGATCACCTCCATGGCATGGTCAACATGCCTTGGGGGTTACTGTTGTTGTAAGCTCCTGTGCTGTGGTTGAGTGGGCTCCCAGGTCCACCAGATGACTCACTGAGCGGCCCATGTGATGGCGGGCTGGTAGCACCTGTTGCACCACCACCACCACCAACTGGGGCAAGCTTTGATGGAGCTGACAGCTGTTCCATTTGATTTACTGCCTTTGATTCCTTGCCACCATCAGCGATGAAACTGCCCATAATCAACTACAATGGAGGAAACCCATTATTATAG